GTACAACGCTAAACACCATCGGAGGTTCCGACCAACGACAACAACATTGGAGGTTCCGACCAACCAAGAATCTCAAAATATTCTGAGGACCAAATATGGACGGCATCAGCTGAGCCATGACGGCGAAAGCACGGAGGAGAAGAGAGCACCAGGAGATGCAATTATAGGAGAAAGCGCGTAGGGAGCTAACACAAACGCTGATACAGCTACCGGCGAAAGTATGAGAGGCGAAAGCACGAATGGAGACAAGATCAAAGGAGACAACACATTTGGGATCAGGATGAAGGGCGAGAGACAGAAGGGAGAGAGGACCAAAGGTGTAAGAGCCACAGGTGAAAGGATGAACGGCGTCAGAACAAAGGGAGACAGAATGAAGGGAACCAAAGCTCCCGGGGAAAGAATCAAAGGATCCAAGGCTAATGGCGATAAAACGGCTGTCGATAGCAGGATCGGAGACAACACGACAGGAGAGAGTAAACGAGGAGATATGATTACAGGCACGAATGCCCACGGTGAAAGGATGACCGAACCGAATATAGCTGGCGAGTAGATGACTGGCACCATAACCACCGGAGAGAGAATGAGAGCCTGCGAAGCCGTCACCGGGTCACGAATCAGCGAGGTAAGCACCAGCGGCGTAAGTACGATATCCTTCTTCCGCTGGGCTTTGAACATGACAGTCTCCTGTGCTAAACTCCTGATTGTACTCTCTACAGCTCGTGGAACTTCGGAAGCGGGTACATCCTTCAATCTCGAGTAGGTGGATGAGTCGTTGAAAGGAGACTCTGGACCGTAAAACAATTCCAGCTGTTGTTCGTCCATCACAGCGTACCCAGTAGAATTCATATCTAGCATCTGTGGTAAGAAAACGTTGATCAATGACACACTGGATCTCGCTATATATTACTCTAGATTACCACGTCAGCAACTTATGAAGTGGCACACTTGTGAGCAGAACTACAGAAACAGTTAATATCCGTATTATAACAAGAAGGCACGGAGCTAAGTCTAGCTGAGATTTTTCAGCATCCTTCGTTCGTATTCAAAGAGCTAAGCCTCTCGGCTAGCGGCACGATGTCCACAGCTACATATAAGGAACCAAGTAGCGGGTCCCGACCTCAAACGAGAAAGTCTCAATCGGCTTGCTAATAAAGCATGCGCTACAGCGTAGAACTTGTTCTTGTAAAGTTTTCTCGGACTATAGGTCAGGATTGCGGACATTCATTGGCGGTGATTGCCAAGCATTTATTCCGGAGCTGTATTTTCCCTGAACCTCAAAACCTTCACTGAGGACTACGTCGTTTTGCACTGTGCTTGAAGAAAT